TTTGGGACTGGAGAGATGGCTCAGTAGTTAAGAGCACTGGCTGCTCTTGCAGAGAGCCTAGGCTGAATTCCCAGTACCCACATGGCAGCTAACAATTGTCCATAACTTAGCTCCAGGGGATCTGACACCCTCTTCTGACCTCCAAGGGCATTGCATACCACGGGTATGCCTACCTACATGCAAGAAATACACTTTTACACATAAAATAAAAATAAATAAAATATTTAAAGTTATTTTGCATTCAAAGTACAAGGCATTTCCAATTTGGTCATTTGGAGATTTATCATCTTAGACTATTTCTGTATTGCATGCAGTATTAAAAGGCCTCACATATGAAAGTATTCATCAGTGGATCAGCCAGGATAAAATTTGAAATCTTAGAAATGTCTGTGACTTCTGCATCCTCAGGTTCAATCAAAAGCACTAGAGTAAGGAGTGTCAATATTGAGCATGTGCAGACTTCTCTTCTTGCCATTATCCCCTAAACAATTCAGTGCAACAGCTCTTTACTTGTTTGTGTATGTGTACAGGTGTTCATGTGAACTTGTGCACATGGAGGCCAGAGGTCAATGTTGGGTTTTTCCTCATCTGCTCTCCATCTTATTGTTTTGAGAGAAGGTCTCTCACTCAACCTGGAGCTCATGATTTGCCTAGACTGACTAGAAATAGCCCCAGAGATTTTCCTGCCTCTGCCTCCCTAGTGTATGCACCTGTTTTTTTTTTTAAATGTGGGTGCTAAGGATTTGAACTCAAGTCTTCATGCTTGCCTGGAAAGCATGTTACCAACTGAGCCATTTCCCAGGCCTGATAATAACTATTTCCATAGCACTTCCATTGTCTTACAAGGAACCTGGAGATGACTTAGCACATATAGGAGGATGTACATATATCATATGAAAGTACTTTGCCTTTCATATAAAAACATTGAATGTCTTTGGATTTTGCCATCCATGAGGGGTCCTGGAGTGGGTCATTCCTGAATATTGAGGGTTATCTGCCCTTCCCACACATCTGCTCTTTCCCCCCATAGGTAAAGTGTGTGCCTATTAGTCCTTCTGAAACACTTAGTTTTGGAAGTAGTGCATAAAATACAGTGCAAAATAAGTCAAACATTTCCCCCAAACTGTGGGACATCATGAAACTGATTTTAAAAATGATACCGGCAAATTCTAGAACCATTTCCAAAGCCAAGACATCTGGATCTGGTTGAACTAATGGGACTAGAAAACAACGAAAACAACAACAACAACAACAACAACAACAACAACAAAAAAAACCCAAAACTACAAGAATAAAGAAAAGAAGATTCCAAAAGAGAAATGTGATTTTAAAGGGCAGAGAAAGCATTGGGGGAAGTGATTGAGGTTCTCAAACTCTTGTACCAACCAATCCCCTGTCTCTGTCATTCACCAAAGATACAGAGATGACATAGCTGGAAGGCTGTGTTGGAAAAGCCAGGACCTAAAAAGAAATATGAAGAGGTTGGAGAGATGGCTCAGCTGAAGAGCACTGGCTGCTCTTTCAGAGGACCTGCACTCACATGGCTGCTAAAAGCCATCCGCAATTCCAGTTCTCAGGGGATCGACGCCCTCTTATGGTATCTGAGAGTACTACATGCACATGGTGCACATACATACATGTAGAGAAACACTCATACACATAAAGTAAATAAATCCTTTAAAAAAGAAATGCAAAATGAGCCAAAATTGACTAGTTCTTCATTCCAGAATTAGCTGCAGGTTTATTAAATGTAAGATGACACCATGAGAGTCTTGAGTTTCATTTTACAAGGTCAACATTGGTCAAGCCTTCTTTTTCCCAAGGGTTCTAGGCAACATTTGTTCTCATTTTACAATATTGACATTATGAAGCCTTGCTCACTCTCAAGTGATGTTTGAGCTGCATTCTCCGTGGTGACCTCAGTTCAAAGCCAGGATCAGTGAGAGGGGGAAAAATGGAAAACAGCCTGGGGCAAAAAAGGTGCTAGTTGGTGCCAAATGCTGTTCATACAACTTGGGCATCTAAGAACACTGGTGTGAGCTGCAGAAAAATTAAGGCTGTGAAGTTAAATTCTGAAAGTCATTTTTGCAGTGTTCAGTCCCAGCCCTGTTTACAGGAACAGCCTGAACTGTTTCTGGAAGGTGGTGTGCTCTTTTTGCAGCCAAGAGTTCTCCAGGTAGGAGGCAGGAAGACATCAGCTCAGAAGCAGAAGCAGGGTAGACTGTGGATAGAGATGATGGATGATGAGCATCCATCACATCTGCACTGGCAAGTCTCACCTCTGCTGTGCATTCAATCCTAAGGGGAGTGAGTGTGAGGGTGTGCACGTGTGTGAGTGCATGGGTGTATGGTGCTGAGGATCAAAACTAGGACCTCATGTACACTAAGCAGGTGTTCTACCTGATGTACATCCTCCTCCCAAGGGAACTTTAAAATAGCTCTGATGTCCACTCTCCAATCTAGATCAATCAGATCCAAACCTCTAGAGGGTAGAGTCCAAGCACCTGTTTGTCTATCTAGTGGGTGCTGAGATTGAACCCAAGGTCCTTGCACATATGAGGCAGGTATTTTATCCCTGAGGTATACTCCCTCTATTTCTTTAAAAAATGTATGTATTTATTTATTTTTATCTTATGTGTATGAGTATTATACTTGCATGTACGTAAGTGCACCTCTGTCATGCAGTGCCTGTGAAGGACAGAGGAGCAAATTGATCCCCTGGAACTAGGGTTATGGGCAGTTGCTAGATGCCATGTGGGTGTTGGGATTTGAACCTAGGTTTTCTGCAAGAGTAGCCAGTGCTCTTTACCACTGAGCCATCTCACCAGCCCCACTCCCTCTATTTCTAAAAGATTTCTTAAGCCATTCTCATTTCTGCTGGGGCTGGGAATTAGGCATTGGGTTACTTTACCAAGATGATATATCTGTCAGGCACCAAAGGAGATGGGTTAGCTTGCTTGCAACAAGTGTCATGAGGGAACAACTAGAGCAGTAAACACCACGATCCCCTCCTCCCAAGGGCCACCAAAGCCAGGCATTGGTCCTTCCAACCTGTGAGAGATACTTATACAGCTGGGGGTCTTGTTCGAGTCCCAGGGAAGTGAGGCGCTCCGCTTCGCCACCTGCTAGCAGCTGGTAGAAGATGTGGAAATTCCGCTCACCATGATTTTGATAGACGACTCTGGATTTTTCTATCAAGTAACTGATGATATGCCCACCTACAGGAACGCCCTTCAAAACAGAATGCAAAGGACAGGGCTGTGACTGCGACGAGCAGGGCGCTCTCCCATGCTGTCTTCTGACAAACAGCAGTGATTTGGTTTAGTTTGGGGTTTGTTTTTGTTTGGACAGGGTCTTACTATGTGGCCCAGACTGGTTTCAGACTCAAGTTCTGAATTCATGATCTTCCCACCTCAGTCTCACAAGCAATAAGATTACAGGCTTGTGCTACCATGCCCTGCTCAGAAGTTTTAAAATTTGTTTGAAAAATAATCTCTCAACTTCTATGATCGTTGGTTCCTAGGTTCTGTGTATAGGATTTTTACCTACTCCAAGGTCAGAAAGGTATTTTTTAAAAATTCTTTTTCAAAAGAACAGTTTTATTGTTTGTATTTAGGACTATGATCCATCATGCTATTTAATTTTTAAAATTATTTTAACATTTTATTCATTATTGTGTAGGTGTGTATAATGTGTTTAAATGTGGGCACACATGTGCCAAAGCATATATGTGGAGGTCAGAGGACAACTTTTGAGAATTGGTTCTCTCCTTCCACCATGTGGATTCTGGGGATCAAACCCTGTCAGGCTTGTGTAGCAAGCACCTATATTCACTGAGCCATCTTGCCAATCCACATTATTTAATTTCTGTATATGGTATGAGGTAGGAGGCAAAGATCATCTTAATCAATATTAATACTCAATATCCATAAAAGTACTATTTGGGATTGGAGAGATGGCTCAGAGGTTAAGAGCACTGACTGCTCTTGTAGAGGATCCAAGTTCAGTTCCTAGCACCCATATGGTGGCTAACAACTGTCCATAACTCCAGTTCCAGGGGATCCAATGCCCTCGTCTCAACTCCGTAGGCATTTCCCACACATGATGCACTCACGTTCATGCAGACAAAACATTCATACACATAAAATTAAAATGTTTTTAATTAAAAAATAAAAGTACCATTTATTGCCGGGCATGGTGGAGCACGCCTTTAATCCCAGCACTTGGGAGGCAGAGGCAGGCAGATCTCTGTGAGTTCAAGGCCAGCCTGGTCTACATAGTGAGTTCCAGGACAGCTGGGGCTACCGGGAAACCCTGTCTCAAAAAGACCCTCCCCCAAAAGTACCATTTATTGGAAAGATGATCTCATCCTTACTGAATCCCAGTGGTGATTTAATTTTCGCTTTTATCACATTTGTGTGTGTATAGGGGTACACTATGTGGGTGTGGAGGTCAGAGGACAACTTGCAGGAGTCAGTTCTCTTCTTCACCATGTGGGTCCTGGGGATCGAACTCAGGTCATCACACTTGACAGCAAGTGTCTACCCATTGACCATCTGGCAAGTCTCACAGTGGTGATTTTGTCACAGACTGTAAGGGGTTTCTTGGGACTCTATGCTAGGTCACGGGCCTCTACCTATCCTCATATCACCCGTACTTTAATTATTACTTATAAAATAGTTTATTATTTTTATTTTATTTAATGTGTATGAAGGTATTGCCTGCATGTAAGTGCATCTGAGTCATGCAGTACTGGCGGAGGTCAGAAGAGTGTGTCGGATTCCCCAGGAACTGAAGTTATAGACTGTTGTTAGTCACTACGTAGATGCTGGGACCTGAACCCAGGTCCTCTGCAAGAGCAGCCAGTGCTCTTAACCACTGAGCCATCTCTCCAGCCCCAATCATTACATTTAATAATATATTCGACAAGAGATTTTTATCCCAGAATTATGCAGAGCTCTTACAAATCAGTAAGAAAATACAACCCAATTAAAAGTGGGCAAAAAGAGTTTCAAGTGGCTGATAGGTGAATTTCCATTAATGATCATGGAGGTACAAACGGAAATCACACTGAAGAAGCAGTACAGCCCAGCGGAACCCGTAAAACTACAAGAGGTAATAGTGAACAGGATGGCGGGGGTGTGGAGGTACCGGAGCTGTCATCAGTGATCAGACCATGGCTGCTGAGAGCCCGTGATGCTACTTGTGTGCTGTAGCCAACACAAATGAGGACTCCTGTCTACTCAAAGACATGGCAAGTATGTTCAGGGCACAAGTTGCAATACCTCCCATTGCAAATAACCCCAAAGTCCATCAGGATGATGACACATAAGCTGCAATGTAATTGTACAAATGAAAGGTGAATAGACTGGCAAGGTGGCTCAGTGGGTAAAAGTGCTTGTGTCAAGCCTGATAACCTGTGGTCGATCCCAGGGACCTACATGGTGGAAGGACAGAACTGACTCCTGAAGATTGTTCTCCAAACTCCATGCATGTGCTATGTCATGTGTGCACAGCAGGTCTTGTTGGACAAGTGTCTGAAAGCTAGGAATTTTTATATCTTGACTTGAGTGGCGGCTACCCTGGAGAGACATATGTAAAACTCATCGAGCTGGCCTCATGATTCATGGTCTTTTCAGTGTATGTACTAAAAGGAAGTCTGAGATGCTGGACAGATGGCTCAGCAGTTAAGAGCACCAGCTACTCTGGCAAAGGACTCAGGTTCAGTTTCCAGCACCCACATGGTAGCTAATGATCATCCCTATCTCCAGTTCCAGGGTATCTGACACCCTCTTCTGGCCTCCTCGAGCATTGTACACATGAGCGCACTTACATAAATGCAAGCAAAACACTTATACACATGAAAATAAATACATCAAAAATTTTAGTAAAGAAAGTCTGAAACTATGCAGAGCTATGAAATTTCTCTCGAAGTCTGTGCAGATTCCAGCAGCTCATGGACCAGTTTCCAGGAAGTGCTTAGTCATCTTGGCTTCACAGCTCTTCAGTACCCTCAGGTGGCTGCTGCAAGCTAGTTCAAGGGTCACTTTTCCACTTTTTAGTCATTTCCTGTCAATGAACACTGAGCTCTTGCCAGGCTTGTTGTAAAGTCCAGTCTTCTACTATTGTGAGCAAGGCTGCTGTGGACACACTTGCTTACCTATGGGGACAACTCTGCTAGTAAAATGCTGCTCTTCTGATTAGTACTATTTTTTTTTTAAAGATACTTTCTTACACTGTAGCCCAGGCCAGCCTTGAACTCATGGCAATTTTCCTGTCTCAGTCTCCTGAGTGCTGGGATTGCAGGTGTGTGCTACAGCGCCTGGCTGTACTTTAGATTATGTGATGCTGGCCTCATAACACAGGATCCTTTCACTGGTGTGATCCATTGATTTTCAAACGGGTTTGCTGGTGAATCCCAGCATCCAAGTGTGAGAATTCCTAGTGATCCACATCTCCACTCACACCCAACATTCTCAGACTTAATTCTCACCCCCTGAGAGATATAAAAGTGGCAATTCATTGAGGTCTTTATTTGTATTTCTTAAAATCAGCACAGGGGTGGGTCTAAGGAAATGGCTCAGCGGGTAAAGTGCTTGCTGCACAAGCATGAGGACCTGAGTTCACATTCCCGGATCCCATGGAAAGCCAGCAGTAGCTGGTGTCTGTAATCCCAGCACTTCTACAACAAGATGGGAGGTGGAGATGGGTAAGTTCCTGGAAGCGCACAGGCCAGCTAGCCTGGTGGGCGCAGAAGCCACGGTGAGAGACCGTATCTTGAACAAGGTGGAAGATGAGGACTGACACCTGAGGTTATCCTCTGACTGTTACATGGATGCCATGGCACGTGCTCACATGTGCCTGAACTCACATGCATGTGTATGCACACACACACACACACACACACACACACACACACTCACACACAGAGTTTTAAAAAATGGGCTGTGATGCTGAACTTTTTCCACGGTTTGAGCTGATACTGCCTTTCCCCCCAGGGGTCACCTTGAGTTGGGTAAGGGATCCCTATGAAACTGTAATAGGAATTTCAGTGTACCTGAAAGTCAAACTGTATGTCCATGTATTTTCCAAATCTGCTGGAGTTGTCATTCCGGAGTGTTTTGGCATTTCCAAAGGCCTTCAAATACAAACGTCATTTACTGTCACTTAAACTCATGCTCATCAAATCTCTACCCTCAATTAATACACTTATTATGAAAGAGGGAGGCAGAGGGAGGAGCTGGGGAGGAAAACCACACAATCTTCTAAAGAAAAGTCACTAACTGAGGATTCAATTCCAATTCTAGAAATTCAGGGAAATCAGGAGAAAAGTCCTCCTAGAATCCAGGCCAGAGATACATTAGAAATGGCCAAATCAGAGTGCATAGCGCCTTGGACTCTTGCTGTGGTAGCAGGCGCAGCAGACATCCCACCACATCCCTTCTCATAGCAAAGGGCCTACTGGGAAATTCCTTCAGCATCACTTACAGAAAGGACAATAAAACACAGGGGAAAGTGACTTGTTCTAGATCAGCCCCACAGGTTGCTGTGTCATCACAGTAGAAACAACTCAAATGGTTTCAACCACAAGGAAATTATTAGTTACACGTTTTTTTCCTGCTTACTAATTCTACTGCTTTTTGTGCAGTTACCTCATTGGGCCCTCGAGACCTCTGAAGAGGCAAAGGGTACTCTGAGCATTCCACACCTGTCTCAGAGGAGATGGACTCTGAGATTCAGAGGGCTTTGCTGAGACTTACTGGATTCAAAGCCCAAGTCTGCCAACCTCATTTCAAAGTCATGTCCTTAACTGTACACTACCTGTGAGGCCCCTTTTTCTCAGTAGTGACATGCCTACTTTGACTGCCACACCCAGGCAGAGAGGACTGTTCTTCCTTAGTGATCTGGAGCTCCCCTCAGGAGTCCTCAGAGGCCTTTTACCTCTAGCACCGGGATAGAGAGCAGCAGCCTGTCACGCGCTATTTGGAGGGACTCGGTCATTGGGCAGGTCACTGCGAAATACTGGAGAATCTTCTTGGAAGCCTCTGTTTTCCCTGCCCCACTCTCTCCAGAAATGAGGATGAAGTGGTTATTCAGCTCAGAGCACATCATGCGGTAGGCGTTGTCAGCGATGGCGTAGCTAGAGGAGGAGTCAGCAGAAGTGGACAGGTTCTTAGCGCTGCTTGTCTGGACTCTAATACCTACTGGGCAGAAAGACTTACTGGATTCAAAGCCAAAGCCTTCCAGCCTTACTTCATGATGCCCTGCCTCCAAGAAACCACATCTAGACTGTAGTACCTCAGAAAGTTACCATCCCTCTACAGACACAAACAGCCCCAGATGACAAAGCTCAAATAGCAGGAGTTAGAGGCTGTGGAAACATTTGTGGACAGAAGCAAAATAACAGCAGCAACAGAAACATCTTCAAAATCTACCTATGTGAGGGTTTGTGGTAACTGTCACCTTGACAGGATCTAGAATCACCTGGGAAATGGGCCTCTGGACATGCCTATGGGGATTAGCTTGATTGTATTCATGGAGGTGGGAAGACCTGCCTACTAGAATGATGCCCTTCCTGGCTGGGATCCTGGACTTATGAGTGGGCACAGAGAGCTGAGCTACAGCAGCATCCAGTACTCTCTGCTTCCTGATTGTGGATGCGATGTGACCAGCATCCTGCCTTGGCTTCCCCACTATGATGAAAGTATGCAACTCTCAACCAGAAAAACCTTTTCTTCTCTAAGTTGCCTTTGTCAGGGCATTTTATCACAGCAACAGAAAAGTAACTAAGATAACCTAATTAATTTGATTTTACAGATCAAACACCAAAGTCTTGTGCATACTAAGCACACACTCTATCAGCAAGCTATATACCCAGGCCCACCACATTTATTTTTTAAAATCCATTTATATTCCTTATAAGAATAAGCCAGGAACTAAATTACATCTCCCAAATACATTCTGTGGTAGAAACCACATCTTGTCTAAGTATTAAATAATTCACTAAATATGATATCTTTTTTCTTTCCATCAGAACCTAGAGTACTAAGAATGTAGAGGCAGAAAACCAGAGATTAAAAACTGTGGGACTGGGCCTGCTGTGGTGGTGCCTTTAATCCCAGTACTCAGGAAGCAGAGGCAGGCAGATCTCTGTGAGACCCAGGCCAGCCCATTGTACATAGCAAGTTCCAGGCCAGGGGGTGCTGTAGGGAGATTCTGTCTCAAAACACCAAAAACCAACCAACTAAACAAACAAAAACTTTGGGGCTGGAGAGATGACTCAGAGGTTAAGAGCACTGGCTGCTTTTGCAGAGGACCTGGGTTTGGTTCCCAGCACCCACGTGGCAGCTAACAACCATCTGTAACTCCAGTTCTATGGGATTTGATCCCCTCTTCTGGCCTCCTCAGGCACTGCATGACATAGGTGTATTTACAAACATGTGGGCAAAATATGTACATAAATAAATGAATAAATAAAAAATTTAAAACTAACATCCTTGGGAGAAGAGGTATAATTATTATAAGGTTTTAAAAATATTTTATTATTATTTTTATTTTATGAGTGTATTGTCTGCCTATTGCATTTTATGAGTGTAAGTGCACCTGTGTCTGCAAAGCCTTAGGAGGTTGGTTGGACGAGGGTATCAGATTCCCTGGAACTGGAGTTACAGATCATTGCTAGTGGCCACATGGGTGCTGGGAACCGAACCGGATCTTCTGCAAGAGCAGCCAGTGCTCTTAGCCACTGAGCCATCTCTTCAGCCCCATATTATGAAGTTTTTAAAGGATCATATTTATTATTTTTAATTTTGTATGTGTGATCCTGAAGTTGGTGTTACAGGGTGTTGGGAGCCACCTGAGGTGGGAGCTGGGAACAGAACTTGGGTCCTCTGCAAGAGTTGGAAAGACTCTTACTGCTGAGTCCGCTCTCCCCACTCCCCATCCTCCTATTAGAAGGGTTTTATCTCCAGGATCAGAAATCAGATCAGGAAGTTCTCCCCAACAGCTGGAAAGTTCAGGACTTGGAGGTGGTAGCGGTGATGTGGAAAGATCTAGAATTTCTTTTTTATTAAAAGGTCTTTTTGAGACCGGGTCTCCCTGCAGCCCCAGCTGGCCTGGAACTCGCTATGTAGATCAGGCTGGCCTCGAACTCACAGAGATCTGCTTGCCTCTGCCTCCCAAGTGCTGGGACTAAAGGCATGTGCCACCACGCCCGGCCTAGAAATGTTTTAAGAAGTGGAAAAACTGAGCCTATAATACAAATGAGGGGAGAACCTAGGCATCAGCCCAGAAAGCAACAGTGGAGGGAAGCAGGAAGCTCAGGGAAGCCGGAGTGTACAGACCAGGCAGGAAATTGCTCAGGGCGAAGGTTCTGCAGCCCTGGGAAGTTTCTACCAATGGGCATTCTTCTTAGCTGCACTGCTGCTCAGCTACCAGTAGATGGCACTATAGCAGCCGAGGTACCAAAGGAGACGCCTCTCTAGCCACTTACATATCTCAGCCTTTCCACGAAGATTCGATGCCTGACTACTTGAGCTGAGAATCCGAAAAGACCTACTAACATTTTCTACAGTTTTGACTTATTTCAAAGGAAGGCTGAAGCTAATGAGCATGCATCAAAGAGATGGATGGATGGAGAGATGGATGGATAGATGAGAGGATGCATGGACGGGTAGATGGGGAGAAAACAGAGGGATGGAAAAAATTAAAAAGAAGGGGGGGAATAGAAAACTAATCCTGGTGATCACCCTACGGAGTACTTACACATGCGGTGGCAGTTCAAAGAAATTGACCCCTTGATAAAGTTCCATCTGGCTCACAGTGTAGATTCCGAGCTCCTGGTATGGATTCACGGATACAAGGAGTGTCCCGATATATGTCTAGAGGAAGGGACCAGAGTATAGGTGAGGAATTCTAGGTACAAATAGTGTCACATACTATGATCCCCATGTGCTGATTCAGGGTGTGGAGGTGTGTGTAACAACAAACAAGACAGATGTGTTCTCTGCCCACAGCTTGCATGGGGAGGGGCATGGCAGACAAGTCACCCAGAGATCAAGACAGTTTCAGAGAAGTCTTGGGAGCTGTGCACAGAGTGATGAGCTGGAAGGCCGTATTAGCCAGTGGGCTATAAGAAGCCTCCTTTGAGGAGTGCACTTCTAGGTGGAAGTTAGAAGGATAGAGAGCTAGTTGTGAAAGAAGTAGACAAGAAGAGTCCTCGGGATGAAGGGTCCAGTGTGGCAGGCTGTCTGCGCTGGAGCCAGTGTAGCCAAAGCTCCCAAGTGAGGGGAGGAGGAGAGAGATTGAAAAGGAAGCAAAGAGGCAGTAGGTTCAGATCACAGGGCCCTGAGCACTGCGGGAGCTGGGTTCTATTCTAAATGTAATGACTGGAGGAGACACTGTCCTCTCCTAACCAAATGGAAGACTTATCCTGTATGTGCTCATAAATAGGTGTCTCTAAATGGAGCACCAGGCTCCGATTAATGCCTCACAACGGTCTCTCTGACCACTGGGTGAACATGCAGGGCAAGCGTGCCCAGCAGAACTCTAAATGGCACAGTACTCCCACAACTCACAATTCTCTGGATTTCAACAGTAAATTCTATTCATATTCAAATATTTTCAAGCCTTATATTTTCAATCTAACCATTGAAGGACTTCTTGTAATGCAATCATAAATAAAGGGCAGTAGGATCTTAAGACAGAAAAAAAGTACTTAGGTTCCTTTGAAAATATATCAGGCACTTTCAGATCTAATTTATTGTTTCAAATCCTGGAGGTACAGAAGTCTACGTTAAGACATGCTCAAATTCCAGCTACAGCTAATGTTTCTCATCAGGCAGAGAACCGGAACAGAGAAGTGTATTTTGATTAAAAGTCTGCATTATTTTAGCCAATGGAAACTGGTCCTGAGGACGGAAACGGTTCCTGAAATCATCCATTTAAGCTGGAAGCTTTCAGCTTAGTCATGATGACCCAGTTGTCCCATTTGTATTTTCACATCATGTTATTTCTGCCTTACTCAGAAAATTAGATTTTTTGGGAGAGGGGTTTCTATTTGTACAATTAAGGGTAATCATTCTGAAAGTCAGGGTATAGAATATGTAATTTAAGAAATATCTTATTTACTCTAGTAACCTTGGCTTCAACACATTGATTTATAGCTTATATATATATATATTTATAAACAAACTAGTTATAAGACAAATAGTTTTATTTTTGCAGTGCTGGAGATCCAACCCAGGTGCATCCTAGGCAGGACAAGGTCAATCTGCGAAGGGTTTGGTAAAGAGTTACTTTCTTGGCCCTTGAACATGAACAGGGTACAGAGGGCACCTCATGTTCCCTGCTTGAGATCTATTTCCTAATTCTTCCAAAGGAGTCCTATAAGAAACATGACCTGCTCTCAGTCCATGTAATAAAAGATACGGGACTCTTCTCTTCACCTCTGTGACTGGCCTAATAACCCAGTCTGGCCAATCCTAATATTCCTTATTCCTTGCTGTGGGGATTGGTTGAAAGACAGCACTTGACCCAAGATGGGCCAATCAAAGCCAGTCAGCATCAACTCTGAAATATCTGCTAGAGCTGTCTCTTTGAAGACGCTCCTTCCTCCCCAGTAATTATACTAGGGTGAGGAAGAGTCAGACTAGTGCCCTGCGACTAAGCAGAGACAGGCAGCATCAGGAGAAATTAAAAGAAAGCAGAGCCGAGGAGTGGAGACGCATCCTAGGGACATGTCTGAAACCGTGAGTCCGTCCCTGTAGGAAGTTGATAGAGTCCCTTCTGTGACTTAGGATGTTTAAGCTGAGTGTCTTTTGCTGGGTGACTTTTGAAGAGCACCCGCCCTTTACAGCACTTTTTGTGGCTACACTAGTGCCGAGATCGTTCAAAACCATCAAGACTGGGAGGAAGGGAGGGAACAAACAGGATAGGAAAACAGCTGAGGTTTAGGTTACATAGATGAGGTTCTCGCTGAAACGCTTGCGAAGATTGTCCAGAAAGGCAGATTCGCTGGTGTAAGCGTCCAGCAGCACAAAGTCCTGCACTCCGACCTTGTCCCGGGCGGTCAGTGCCCCTTCCATGTGCAAGCGGATGTGCTTCCTTCTCACGTCTTCTCTCTATAGGAAACAGAACATTCCTCAGTAGTTCATCTCTCCAGAAATATCTATCATGGGTCTATTACGTGGAAAAAAACTAGAGTATACAATTGACTATAGTCTGCAATAAGACAGCATGCTATTTGGGTGTGTAGTTAGTATAAGAGCAATAGGTTGGGGCTGGAGAGATGGCTCAGTGTTTAAGAGCACTGACTGCTCTTGCAGAGGACCCCGGTTTGATTCCCAGCACCCACATGGCAGCAACGAACCATCCAGGGGAATCCAAAACTCTCTTCTGACCTCTGTGGCATTGCACGATACGGGTGTACTCATACACAAAAAATAAAAAATATTTTTTGTGGGGTGTGGTGGCGCACACCTTTAATCCCAGCACTTGGGAGGCAGAGGCAGGTGGATCTCTGTGAGTTCAAGGCCAGCCTGGTCTACATAGTGAGTTCCAGGACAGCTGGGGCTACAGGGAGACCCTGTCTCAAAAAGACATATTATATATATGTCAAGGGCACTGGTACAGTGGCAAAACTAACAGTGCTTTCCTCAGAACATAGTCACCGTTAAGCAGCACATGACTCGTGTGTGAAAAATAGTACAGGCAGCTAACAGAAACCAGACTCTGTTGTGTCAGACACTATTCTAAATGCTTGACTAACACTACCTCATTTAATCATGATTCTGATTTTGTTATCCTGTTCATTCAACAGATGAGGAAACAGAGGCACAGGGATGTTATAAACCATAGCTGAGATCTGCCAAAAGGCAGAGCCAGAACCTGAAACAGCCTAGGGGCTGGGGAAATGTTTCAGTTGGTAAAGCCCTGGGCGTGGGGCTGAAGAGATGGCTCAGTGGTTAAAAGCACTGGCTGCTCTCACAGAAGACCTGGGTTCAAATCCCAGCACCCACGTGGCAGCTAACAACTGTCCATAACTCTAGTTCCGGGGTATCTTCTGGCCTCTGAGGGCACCACATGACACGGGTGCACTTACATACATGCAGGCATAAAACTCATACACATTAAAAAAAAAAAGCTGGGCATGTTTGTAATCTTAGCACTTGGAATCTTGGGAGATGGAGACAGGCAGATCTCTAAAGGTTGCTGACCAGACAGCCTAGTCTAGTTGATGAGTGTGGTTGTCATCGTCCTCTGGCCTCCACAAATATACAAACACATGTGCATACATACATACACATGCATCAACACACATGAATACATGACATGGGCACACATACAATATAAAAATAGAATTAAAAGCTAGACTTGGTGGCACACGCCTTTAATCCCAGTACTCGGGAGGCAGAGGCAAGTGGATCTCTATGAGTTCAAGGCCAGCCTTGAACTCCAGTTTCAGGGGATCTGATGCCTTCTGACCTCTGAGGGCATTTACATACATGCAGGCAATACATTCATCCACATAAAATAAAAAAAATAAAATAAAATTGGGGCTGGAGAAATGGTTCAGCAATTAAGAGCACTGGCTGTTTTTGCAGAAGACACAGGTTCAAATCCCAGCACCCACATGGCAGCTAACAACTGTCCATAACTCCATGGCAACTAACAACTGTCCATAACTCCAGTGCCAGGGGATCCAACATCCTCTTCTGATCTCTGTGAGCACTGCATGACACAGGTGCACTTACATACATGTAGGCAATACATCATACACAAAAATATAAAAATAATAAAGAAAATTTTAAAATAAAATATTTTAGCCTGGTGTGGTGGTGCATGTTTTTAATCCCAGCAGATCTCTGTGAGTTCAAGGCCAGCCTGGTCTACATAGTGAGTTCCAGGTCAGCTGGGGCTACAGGAAGACCCTGTCTCAAAAAGACCGAAAAAAAAATAGATTTAAATGTAAGCAAAACAACTTGACCCAGAGCTTGCTTTCTTGACTTTATACCTTCGATGCATGCTGTCTAAATTCACCTTGCAATCCCCAGATGAGATATGGGTCAAAGATGGTGTTCTTGTTACAGTGGATTATTCAAGGAAGGACAAGCTTAGAATGTCTCTCCCCAAGGCTGGATGAGATGTAGTCTACTGGGTATTAGAACTTCACTGGGTTACCATGCCAGAACTGGCCTGTGGTCAGGTAGTAGAACCAACTGTGGGCACTGCAGTGTAGGACGTCATGGAGGCCACTGGAATCAACTCCGTAGGGCCCAGGCACAGTGAGCCTAGAGGGCTGTGTGCATCGAAAGTGGGGTACCCCTTCATGTTCCAGGCCTGGTATGTGAGCTCTGTGTCAGACAACTGTGATATATGGTCATAAGAGGACATGTCCCATTCAAGGTACGTCCAGCATACAGCCTGAATCCCAAGAGAACCCAGAGCACAAGGTTTAAAAGTAGGAAGAGCAGCTCTGGAGGACTGCAGTGTGCCTCCAATGCCCACTTCAAGGAGAAATGCTGGAGTCTAGTTTTCTTTCTTTTAAAAATTTTTTATTATTTTTATTTTATGTGTATAAATGTATTGCCTGCATGTATGTAAGTGAACCTGTGTCATGCAATGCCCACAGAGATCAGAAAAGGGCATCAGATCTCTTGAAACTGGTGTTATAGACAGTTATTAGCTGCCATGTGGGTGCTGGGAATAGAACCAGGGTCCTCTGCAAGAACAGCCAGAGCTCTTAACCACTGAGCCATCTCTCCAGCCCCTGGAGTCTAGTTTTTATTATTGCAGAGCAGATACTGAAGGGAAAATTTGGATCTGGGAGGCAGTAAATGGACAACTGGGACAGAAAGATAGATAAGCACCCTAGAACATTTGAAAGAACCTTAGAAACAACAAAGATAGAGGACTCACACAGCTCAACTTTAAGTGATTGAGACTGTTGAGCGGGTGGAGAGATGGCTCAGCAGTTAAGAATGCTTGCTGTTCTTGCAGAGGACCTGAGTTTGGTTCCCAGCACCCATGCCAAATGGCTCATAACTACCTAAACTCCAGCTCCAGGGGATCAAACACCCTCTCTGGCCTCTGCAGCCACCTGCATTCAGGTGCCCCTACCCACACAGACACGTCATTAAAAATAAAATTGTAAAAAGTAAAATCTTTTGCCAGTGTCTTGGTGCATGCCTTTAATCTCAATTCTCAGGAGGTAGAGGCAAGCAGGTTTCTGTGAGATAGACGCAAGCCTGGTCTACATAGCAAGTTAGGGGCCAGTCGGGGCTACAGGGAAACCCTGTCAACAACAAGAACAACAACAACAAAAATAAACTATTTTAAAAGTAAAGTACCAAGCTATTGGGGGCTAGAAAGATAGCTCAGCAGTTAAGAGCCCATACTGCTCTTTCAGAGGACCTGATTTCGGTTCCCAGCACCCATATCAGGCAGCTCATAACTGCCTATAATTCTGGCTCCAGGGGAATCTGACACCTTTGGCCTCTTCTGTGGGCACCCACACCCATATACACAAATATACATAATTAAAAGCAAAATAAAAATCCTTAATAAAAAAATTTGAAGTACCCAAACACTTCAGGGCATAAATGCAAAATAATCTTTTCAACCAATGATGCAGGAACTCAAGATATCCATAAGTAAAACTTCATACTTTAACCCCTGCCTTACATTATATATGTATGTATATATATATGTACTATAGTAAATCATATGTAAGTTGTGATGGATTTCAGAGCTACATGCTAGTGTGAAATTCATAAAGCTACTAGAAGAAAAAATAGATTACCTTTCTAACTAGAGAAAGATAAAAAATTTTCTTACATAAGACATAGGAAATAATAATCATTAAAGAAAAAGAATTTAGTTACATTATATATGTATGTATATATATATGTACTATAGTAAATCATATGTAAGTTGTGATGGATTTCAGAGCTACATGCTAGTGTGAAATTCATAAAGCTACTAGAAGAAAAAATAGATTACCTTTCTAACTAGAGAAAGATAAAAAATTTTCTTACATAAGACATAGGAAATAATAATCATTAAAGAAAAAGAATTTAGGCCAGGCGTGGTGGTGCACACCTTTGATCCCAGCACTCAGGAGGCAGAGGCAGGCGGATCTCTGTGACTTCAAGGCCAGCCTGGTCTACATAGTGAGTTCCAGGACAGC